TACTGACTTGCCAGGAAAGACCAAGATAATCAGTCATAAGATTGGCCTGACAAATGATACACCAATACGATCTAAGCCATACTCACTACCGTATGCAATAAGGGAGAACCTTAGGCAAGATATTGATGATATGTTAAAAATGGGAGTAATTAGGAAGTCTACATCACCCTATGCGTCACCGGTGGTGATTGTAAAGAAGAAGGATGAATCGAATCGCATATGTGTAGACTATAAGAAGTTAAATATGGTCACTGTAACAGACCCTGAGCCAATGGTAACAACAGGGGACATATTTCAGAGGCTACACAATGGCAGATACCGGTAGCAGAAGAAGATATACCAAAGACGGCATTTGTTACTCCCAATGGAACTTATGAATTTTTAAGGATGCCATTTGGAATGAAGAATTCGGGAGCTACTTTGGTGCGGGGAATCAGGAAATTATTGTCAGGTATGGAGGGGGGTGGAAGCTATATAGATGACCTGATAGTTTATTCAAGCTGCTGGGATGAGCATGTTCAAGTATTATCTGAGTTGTTACGAAGACTGAGGGCAGCGAACATAACAGCTAGACCATCCAAGTGTGTTGTGGGTGCAACATCAGTAGAATTCCTGGGTCATGAAATTGGACACAACTGGGTGAGTCCAAGTCACGACAACATGGAGAAAATTTGAGAAGCGCAAAGAACAGCAACCAAGAAAGGTGTTCCATCATTTATTGGGCTGGTCAATTACTACAGAGACCACATCCCCTTATTCGCAAATATTGCAGCACCCCTGAGTGACCTACTAAGGAAAGAACAACCCAACAAGGTTGTATGGGGGGAGGCCCAGGAGAAAGCATATAACACTTTGCGGGAATACTTATTGGGCAAACCAATTCTGAAGTTGCCAGACCCACAGAAACCATTTGTGTTGCGAACGGCCGCGTCTCAGGTAGGAATTGGAGCAGTACTTATGCAGAATCACGATGAGAAGCTTCATCCAGTTGCTTATGCAAGTAAGAAGTTATCCAATGCAGAAAAGAAATATTCAACTGTAGAAAGGGAATGTTTGGCCATTGTATGGGGCGTGAATAAATTTCGCCTATATTTAGCCGGTATGGAGTTCATTTTGCAGACGGATCATAAACCATTGTCTTACCTGGATAAAGCCAAGTTTGCAAATGACCGAGTGATGAGATGGGCGATGACTCTGCAAGGATATAGTTGAGGACGGGACAATGTGGTAGCGGACTACCTGAGTAGATTGATGGACTGAGGAACTTTTGAACAGTATAGTAGAATGTTATTCGTTTATGACTATATTTCATTATATTCTACTGTATGTGAATTTCGAATTAATGTGTTCAGAGCTTTATTCAGTTTGATTTGATATATTGTATTGTTGTTTTATTAGTCCCCGTTCGGACGCAATTTTGTTCAAATTTGGTACATACATTAAACATAATAGGACCTTGATGCACGTCATTTTTTTTTTGGATCGGGTTCGAAATGGCCGACTGGCGGCCATTTTGTTTTAAAGAATTCAGTTCTGGATCCGTATCTGAGACATGCTTGGATTGATCGAGTTCAAACTTCACACACACAAGGTACATCATGTCACAAATATGTATGTGCATTTGTTTCATGATCTCATTAACGATAGTCAAATGGCGGCCGCTTTAAGGCCGAAAATGCATTGAAATCGCACATTTTCACCA